GGTTCAGCCTCGATTTTGGAGTTGACGAAACTCCTTAGCTCAGTGTAAGAGAGGGAAGAGGTTCCAGCTGAATGATGTGAATCGGAAATCATACCGATCTACAAGAAAGACGACAGGTGCTCCTGTGAAAACCAGAGGAATTAGTCTAATCAACATTGCCACCAAACTTCTCGCCGGCCTCATACTCCGACGATTATCTGCCGCAAGTGATCGTGTGAGAATCAGGCTGGTTTTAGACCCGGTCGAGGTTGTATCGATCACATCTTCACAATCAGCCAAATTCTGGAGCATCGACATTCCTTTTGTTCAGTTCAATTCAGTTTGTAAAACGATTAACCACGCAATATTCGTGCACCCGTTTTGGTTGCTGTCTTTTGTATGCCCATTTGGATGAAGAATAGAAGAAAGGAAAGTTGAAAGTGGAGTCGAACAGAAAATGGAGAAGTTCAGTAGGTTTCAGGTTTCAAAGAAGTTGAGATGCACGAACGCCACTGTTTACGACACCCAGCCATATCATTCAATGTCTCTAACCATCGGTTACGATCATCCCGGGGTCCCCAGCCAGGAAACCTAACGGGATCTGTGTGACTCAGACTCCTGGTCAGGATTTTCATACCCTCGTGCCGGGTCTTAACTTGACCACCCTTGACTTTCTTCCACCCACTACTGGCCTCGACGAACATCGCTCGCCGTGGTAACCTACCTGATGACATGCGCAATACACGCCCCAACCAACGTAATCTATGGAGGGTGACCACTTGCTCCAGTGGGCGACCGCGGATATCCAAAACTCTGCCCCTAACCTCAGCATTGCTCATCCGGCTACCCCACCAGATTCATGCAATGCTGCGTAGACAGCGATGTTCAAACACCGACAGTCTATCCTTATCCTGTTTTCTTAATGGCCAAGTTTCTGCGCCATATAGCAGAACTGGCCGAACTGTCGCGGCATACGTTTGACCCCTTACACACATCGATGGCTAGGGTCTCGAGCGTACGAACTAAACACACTTGTTGTTCTATTAGCATCAGAGTACGCATATTAAGTGTGGCTATCTCCAAGTTTTTATAGAACACCACAATTACAAAGCAAAAATCGTTCTAGAGAAACCGAGTCAATGAGCGAATGATTGTTTTCGGATATTCTTAGTCATGCTCTTACAAATTACGTTAAAAATCCTTACATGACAACCACTGGTTCGGTTTAGGATCACTACTCGGGGGCAGATCATAGAGGTTCTGTGTTTTTTAAGAGCATGACGAAGAATGCCCGAAAACAACTGACGTTCAGGGAATGGTTTTTTCTCAATGTTATTATGGGAATACTGGAATCTTCAAAGATTACCAAATAAAAGTTCATAGGTGTTGCAAAGATTTTCCTTATAAACAACCGCGATAAAGGCAAGACCTAAATGCGCTTGATGAATAACTGCGAAAGAATCGCTTTTCATTGAACTGTTTCTATGTGATACTTTGAAGGAAGCGTTGCTCAATAGGATTGCATAACTTCATTCCATACTGCTTACGTGGGGCAAAGACACTTTGGGAGCTGAGACCGCTTTTGAGATCATTCACATTCAACTCAGTTACTGGTGAGTACTGATGTGGGATAACTGATATTCATTTGAACTGACAATCCTTCACCTCCACGCACAATCCTCAGTTCCTTCAGTCAACCATACACCCGGAAGCACTAAACTCAAATTTCGCTCTTATCAGAGCTCATTAGTAGTGTATACCCACCGGGATTTGAAATCCGGACCTATTACTTGGAAGGCATGTGTGGTACCACTGTGCCAAATTTTAAGATCTGCAAACTAATAGCATTTTAATGGAAACAAATTGAAGATATGCCAAAACAGTCCAAGTTTTATGGATGGGAGTTATAGTATTGCAAGGTTACCAACTTGCTTTACTGCGACTGGTTCCTTGGAAAGGATAAACCGGCTCCAGACATGATCGTGTATTTACTGGGAGTTTTGTACCAGAGCCACTCGGAGTTTTGTTTTGAGGACGCGCCACTAACCTTTGCATGACCAAGTGCGAACTGCAAGGCAGCAGGAATTAATCCCTCGCCTCGGAAGCGAGGGGGTCGATTACTTTAGTTTTAAAAGACCAGTCACAGCGACCTTTTTCTCGACACCGTGATTGGGCTTGTGTGGCTTTTAAACAGGAATCAGGTGACCAGCCAGAAAGAAACCCACCATACCCCGGTAGCGCCGCCGTTTGACCACTTATTTGTTGCATTATGCCACAACTTAATCACGGTTAATCTTCTTCGGTGAAGGTATCCCTCCATCGACAACTGGGGGGTGCGCCTGGTAGCATTCAGCTCTGTTTAACCAGAGGGTATCCAAGATTTGTAGTGTTTACCTGATGTTGCATGTGGATACACTTGTTCCGGAGCTGTAAACGGAAAAAGTTGGAGCTAGTACTTGAATCGTTTCACGAAAAGTTCCTAACAGGTCGATCTGGATGACTACATTCTAAGCCTTATTGATTCGTTTTCCCTCGCTAGAT